CATTTTTTAAAGGACATATTCTTTCTTTTATTAGGGAAGTATGCTTCACAGTTTTCGAATTGCTCAGTGTTGAATGCTTATGCTCCTTGTCATGTAGGCTCGCTATGGAATGAGAATATGGTTGAGAGGGGAAATTTAATTAATAATTGATTCATGGCTGGTGACTTTAATGCCATTCAAAACCATAGTGAGAGAATTGGCTGCTCTTTTAGTCAAACTGAGATTGCAGCTTTCAACACGTTCGTTGTAGAGTGTGATCTTTTTTGTATGCCATTAGCGGGGAGGAATTTTACATGGTTCAGACAGGAAAATAGTAGGAACCGCCTTGTTTTGTTGAGGATGAATGGCTTCAGCTGAGATAATAGTGATGTTATGAGAGGATTGTTAGTGTGGCTCTAAGGATATTAGATATGTCTTTCCCCGTTTGTACAGGATGCTTCAAAGGAAATTGGTTGTTGTAGAAATAATTGTTGGCAATGGAAGCTGGCAGGACGTTGTATGGGAGATTAGTTGTAAGATGCTTGCTGGAACGAGAAAAACACTGTCTGGGAGTGGTTAACAAATTGGTCATGTCAACAAGAGTTTGGTGGCGGGTGATTTGGTTGTAACTTAGGACAATAGATGAATTATTAGAATTCTGCTTTCAAGTCCGATTGCGAGGAGAAGCAAAATTGTTTTTGGTTTATTTGTGCTGCTTCGATACTTTGAAATTGTTCATGTCTCAAGATCGAAATTGCAATGGCTGCTTCTTGCAAATGCGGGTCTTTGTAGACAAGAATTAATCAAAGCGTGGTGGAAAGTGGGGAGAACGGTTCTGAAGAATTTTCTTTTTGTTCGTGTTATGTTGTGGCGATTCATGGTCTGGTTTGTGGCTGCTTTAGGTTTTTGGTTGAGGTTGATTTGAATACTTACAGTTAACCTTTGGTTCTGCTTTCATGTTTTAGTGGTTTAGGGTGGTTTTTTGGGGTTTTGTTTTTACTCTGTTGGCATGGGTGAATAGGTTTTGATGGGTTTACAGGTGTTTTTAGTTGCAATCTGTTGTCTATGTTTGTGTTGAAAGGTATATTGATTGCAGCAGGTTGTTGCAGGGTGCCTTCACGTTCAGCAGATTTTGATTGTGTTTGTTTTGAACGTTGTTCCAATGCTTGATTGTGTTGTACTCTTTTCCTCCATATAGGTTTAAGGAGGTTTTTAATGAGGCACACAGTTTAGGCGTGGACATGTTGACTTTATCATCAATAAAATATTTATGCCGAGCAAAAAAAAAACTGTGAACGTTTTGGAAGGTCTAATTTGTAGGAGGCGTGTTAACTGTTGAGTGTCGTGCTTGATTTGAGTTTCGTGTATGCAGTTTGTCATGCAGTTATCTCATGTTTAACAAGGTTTGTAATAGCCCAACCACAATGTGAAACATGCAAGGTCATTAGTAAAGGATCTCATCAAGTTATTCTATTCTTCATGCAATTGTTAGGTGAGCTTTTAGAATGGGTATTGTCGTGCACTTCAGTGATTCCTTTTTGCAGGAGTGATTTTGTAAGCTTGGGGTTGTGTTTTGTTGGGTGATTTTGTTGTTTGGTGTTGACTCTTTTTATATTGTCGGGAGAATGTACTTTTTTCATCCTTTTAGGATTAGAGAGGTTTTTAACGAGACACTCTCATTGTTATTGTCTTTATAGTTATATTAATAAAAATTATAATTGCCGAGCAAAAAAATTGTCTTAGTTTTAATTTATTCAAAAGAAAGTCATACAATTGGTTATTTTGACACATTTAAATAATGACATGTGTAACCATCTAATTGAAGAGTTTTTAATTAATTTTATTATTTAATTTAATTAATTTTCTCATCAATTAGGTGGTGACATATATCACCGCCAATTTAAAGAGAAAAATGAGAGGAAACATTTATTGTTCAGAGGAATTGAACCAAATGCATCAAGCTTTCAGGGTCACACCTCAGCACTTAATTGGTGGGAAAATTAATTGAATTAAATATTAAATTTAATTAAAAAAACTCTCTAATAAGGTGTGACACAAGTCACTATTGAAATGTGTTAAAATAACTTATTGACATGTGACACCTCCTGATTAAATGATTTATTTTTTTAATTAAATTAAAACTATGACTATACATTAATAGAATGTGTAACTATTGAGGATTAAATATGTAACTATACCAATCTTATTAACTACTATGTCAGCACTTCCATCAAATATTAACAGCTATATTAAAACCAATTAAATAGTTAAGTGATTATATTGGTGAATTTTTTAAAATAATGACTATATTGACACAACCCTATAGATAGATGGTCATCCATGTAATTTACCTTAATATAAAGTCATTTCCTTCTCAAGATTTAAATATTTTTAAAAAAATATATATAAATTCAGATTTTATTGTTTATATTTTTCTTTTATCCAATTTTACTTTTACCTTTTTTTCAATTAAATAGATTAAATTTTAGATTTTAGATTAAATAGATTAAATTATAGATGAATGACCATTCGCGCCTTACATTACGTAACGTCAGTTCGAATAAAGCATAGATAATAATCCGCGTCTTTCTTGACGTGATGTTAATTCTGAAAGAATTCCGCAAAGACGCAGATGACAATCTGCGTTTTGTGAGAAACAATATTACATCAATAATATTAAGAGAAAGAATGTCTGATAAATAATTATTAAGTTAATGGGTGATATTTCGGTACAAAGGCCTAAAGAAAGTCGTCCCCAATGCTACAAGTCTAACGAAAACGCGTCCAGTCTCTTCCAGGGTCAATAACAGGCACCAATAATAATGTTACTCTTTATTTTCTTACCAGAATAAAACAAGCCAAGCCGAGCTCCCCTGTTATTTTCTCTCTTTTGCTTCAATCAGTACCCTTTCATGGCTTCTTCTTCCTCTTCTCATCCAATGAAGTATCAAGTTTTCTTGAGCTTTAGGGGTGAAGAAACACGTCTTAACTTCACCTCTCATCTACACCAAGCTTTGAAGGGGAAGGGATTTGGTGTCTTCTTCGATGAAGAAGAATTGGAAAGAGGGGAGCGTATTTCACCTGCACTTTCTCGAGCAATCGAAGCATCGAGACTCTCCATCATCGTTTTGTCTAAAGACTACGCTTCTTCAAAATCATGCTTGGCTGAACTCTCCGATATCATGGACCGCAAGAGCACTCATGGTCAAATTGTTCTTCCCATCTTTTATCATGTTGATCCCTCTGACGTTCGGAATTTTGGTGGCAGTTTCAAAGCATCCTATGATGTCCATGAATCAGATAGGTCTCTTGATAAAGTGAAGCTGAAGCGATGGAAAGCTGCCTTTGCTGAAGCCGGTAAATTAAAAGGGTGGCATATAGCTGGAGTCCAATTTGACAGGTAAACTATATTTTTACTCATCTTCTTTATTTGACTTTATCTTTGGTTTATTAACTTTTATTTTTCTTATTATCTGCCAGATCTGAAGCCGAGTACATTAATGATATTGTTGTATATGTATTAAATAAGTTGATGAATAGTTATTCTGGAAGTGCTTCTGAAGAATTTATCGGAATAGATTATCAGAAAAAGAAGATTTTGGAGCTGATTAAGCAAAATCGAGTAATAGGACTCTGGGGCATGGGTGGTATAGGCAAAACCACTCTTGCTGATGCTGTTTATAAGGAAGTCTCTACCACATTTGAAGGTTGTTACTTTCTTCAAAATGTTAGAGAGAAAATAGTAGAAAAAAAGAGGGAATCCGTGCGAAACGAATTCTTTTCCACGCTTTTAAAGGATAAAAAAATTCGTATAGACACCCCTTCGATAGGGTACCCTTACAGAGAGAGGCTGAACAATATACGAGTAATTGTTGTCCTCGACGACGTTAATGACCCAGAACAAGTAGACTGGATGGGTGTTAAACATTTTGGTGATGGAAGTAAAATCATTCTAACGTCTAGAGATAGACAAGTGTTGAAGAATGGAGGAGCCACCCAAATACATAAGGTGGAAGAGTTAAATGAGAAGTATTCTCTTCAACTTTTTTCTTTTACTGCATTTAAGCAGTTGAATCCTTCTGTTGATTTTCTACATCTATCCTACAAGTTTGTACGGTTAGCCCGTGGCAGTCCACTTGCTCTTAAGATTTTGGGTGCTAAGCTATATTCAAAGTCTAAAGAAGAGTGGAAAAGTGAGTTGGAAAAAGTAAACAAGTTTGATGAACCCAAAATTTCACAGATTTTGAAGAGTAGCTTTGATGGGTTGGATAAACTACAGAAGGATATATTTCTCGACTTAGTATGCTTCTTTAAAGGGAAATCAAAAGAAGAAGTAGAAAAAATTCTAAGTTGCGTGTATAAAGGTGCTGTGAGTGGACTAAGCAGCTTGCTCGACAAATGCCTATTTGACATCAGTTCTAACGGGCGGATTTCTATGCATGATATGCTTGAAGAAATGGGTAAAGATATTGTTGATCAAGAATCTAAATACCCTGAAAAGCGTAAAAGGCTGTGGAATCCTAAGGACGTGTATCAAGTGCTCAACAATAATAAAGTAAGAGTTGTTAGTATTTATATTCATTTTGCCCTTTCGTATGATGTCGTATGGTTCAGTATCACACTATTTATATATATATATATATACACGCACGCGCACACACTTGATATTATGTAAAATATATGTTTTAGGATATAGCATAGGATCTGCTCTAGTGTTTGTTGGGTTAGTTACATATCTAATGCACTGCTTTTATATAAAAAGACAACAAAAACAAACATGTTTAATGATATGTCCAATTAGTGTAAGCATTTCCTAAAATAATTGCATTTTATTTACGATTTAACTAGAATGCATGTAATCTTTCTTATACTAATACTTTGGTAAATTGTTTTTTTTATGTCAGGGAACTGACCGAATTGAAGGAATAAAGTTCGACATGTCTTATAGTGATAACCTAAAGTTAAGTCCTACATGTTTTGAGAGCATGCCTAATCTTTGATATATCAAATTTGATGTCCCTGAATTTCTATCGAGGTTGGCTGCTAATTTAATTACAAATGGAGATATTTATATTGATATTGATATTGCATATCTTCCAAATGAGTTAAAGTGGCTTCAGTGGAAGTGTTACCCCTTCAAATCTTTATCACTAAATTTTAATCCCAAGAATCTGGTAGTGTTGAATTTATCAGGGGGCAATATGGAACAACTCTGGAATGAAGATTTTCAGGTATATGCTTTTATGCTTCCTTCATCTAGGGAAAAAATATGTATAATTAAGTATAAAAGATTTTTAAAATAAATATATTCTACTTCTTCTAAAGAAGAAAATTTGTTTAGTGAATTCACGATCATCAAATCTAATATTTTATAATTATATGTTATGCAACTAAAGTAAATAGATAATGCTTACAAGTAATACAATTATTTATGTTTTTTGTACAGGATCTTGTTAATTTAAGGGAAATCGACGTTTCTTTTTGCAAGAAGTTAAGGAAGATCCCTAATCTATTAGGAGTCGTCAACCTCAAAATCCTTGACTGTAATTCGTGTAAAAGTTTGGTCCAGCTTCCTGAACTCCCAAATATGTTGAATCACTTAAATTTATCATTCACTAAAATAGAAGAAGTGTCCTTTTCTTCAGAGCCTTCAAATAATCTTCAACAGTTGATAATGACTGATTGCGAGAGCCTCAAATTACTCTCAGAGCTTCCATCAAACCTGAAGTACTTGGATACTCATGGTTGCATATCATTAGAAATTGTATCTTTCACTGATCCAAATTTCTGTTCTTTTGATGGTGAAAGAGACTACACAATGATATTCTCTAATTGCTTCAGCTTGAATCAAGATTCAGTTGATAACATCGAGACAAATTCCATGCTTCAAATTCAATTCCTAGCGGAGAAATGGGCATCAAGATATGATCATGAGTTCTCGATTGATCCCGAACCAAATTTGTTTTATTGTTTTCCGGGAAACAAAATTTCAGCAGATAGGTTTGAGTATCAGAGCAGAAATTCTTCATTAAGTTTGAAGATAGCCACAAGGGGGAGTAGTGGGAGAAGATTATTAGTTTTTGCTATATGTCTTGTAGTCGATCTCACTGATACTGATTTCGTTAGAAATCTTCAATTTATCTGTGAATATCAACTGTTAGCCGCCAGTGGTAATGATGGTGACGGTGGTTTTAAAAAGTTCAAAAGTGAATTGTTTTTGGATGAAATTGGTTGGAATATTCATAACTGCAAGGGTGATCATATTTTCATTCTATGTGGGAAAGATATGGTTAAAGAAGACCAGAATTATGTGGAGGCATCGTTTCAATTCTACATCAAACATCTCCCATTAATTAAGAATGAAGAAAAACATATCAAGGTGAAGAAATGTGGAGTTCATGTAATTGGAACCCCAATTATTGATGTTATGAGATGTGATAAATCCAACCTCAATTTTGATTCTCAAGGAGATGCTAATACTATGGAACCCCATCACCATTCAGCTACAGAAACAAGCACAAGGAGATCAAAGCGGCACAGGATCACAGGTGATTGGAACTTAGCAGTACATTTGCTTCTCTATGACATCTGATAACTGCACAAATAAATTATTAGTTAAACTCTTGTTATATCTGATGCAGAAACAAGAACAAGGAGATCAAAGCGGCACAGGGTAACAGGTGAGTGGAACTCAGAAATACATTTGCTTCTCTATTACATCTGATAAATGCACAAATAAATTAGTATTAGTTAATCTCTTGTTATATCATTATACAGGGCATTGATCATGTTGTTGCTGGCACTAGAATCCATGTCGTTGGTCCTGATGATGATCTGTGTAGTATATTTTTATTTTGGTTAAATTCATGTCTGGCCCTTCTGATTTCGTAAGTTACTCAATTTAATCTTTAAATCACATGTATTAATTGTTAGGTAACCTATTTAATTTTCTTTTTCCTACAATTAGGTACAACATGTTTATTTATTAATTATTATAGTTTTACTAACATATTTTTATGTTTAAATGAATATAAAGGCGTGCATCACAAAGTTATTTTTGTGATTTTAAAAATCAAGGTAATGTTATCGTGTCACGTTAGCTAACGTGATAATGTCCCAACTCATTAGATGTTATTTTGTTAATTATTCGTGACACATAGATATCATTCATAAACTTCTCATCATTTTTTAAGCGTAAACTACAACAGATATTATTGAACTTTAAGCCCCGACTCATTTACAACATCAAGTATTTAATGTTGTCAATTTTAATACTAACATTTACTTTTAAGTACAATTATCAACACTAGCTACTCTCGTGTTATACAACTTAATCGGTGCTATTCAACATATATATTAATTTTGTTAAGATTATAATAAATTCTTAAGATAATTTGGTGGCTGGGTGTTTAGTATTACGACAACACACCTCTGCCATGTTATCGTCCTGTTAAGCCATGATTTGATGATGTCCTTTGTTTTTTCTTAATATGAATGGATATTACCACAAGGTAAGGCTAGGAAACAACTTTCATGGGACTTTCTGGTTGGATGACTGTAGGGACTGGGGAGCCGTATATGCAGCACAAAGAGATAAAAGAGGCACAGGGTACCAAGAGCGCTGCACAGGTGATTGAAACTTAGCAAAATATTGGCTTCTCTATTGCATCTGATACCTGCACAAATAAATTATTAGTTAATCTACTGCTATATCATTATGCAGGGCGTTGAACATGCCATTGCTGGCACTAGTACCTATGTCGTTACTGATGAGGATGTGGAAGATCTCAAAGAAGCAATCAAGGATGAATGGATGATATGCAATCGTTCTACATGTAGGTATCTACCCTCGGCTGTTTGGAAGAAGGTAAAGATGAGGTTTGATGATATCAAGGTGGAGAAATGCAGTGGCCTGTGTGGATGAAGACCAGGGTATGATGAATCGAGCTACGAAGATGAAGAAATGTGCAACTTTGATGAGATGAGCAAATGATGTTGAACAAGATATTCCCAACAACATAGAAGGCATAGGCCAATTTAATAATTCCACTTTGTTTTCAACAAGATGCCGTGTATCACTATAGATTGCTTTCAAGAGCTGCCAACCGGACAGTTTGGAGAAATTTGTATTGGTACCACCAAACTACAATAGACGATTAAACTAACGCTCAATTCGTGTACTTTTTATCTTTATAATCGATGCTTATAATTTTTTTCAATTTCACTTTTTACCTGTATAATTGAAGCTCTTAATTTTTTAATCTCATTTTTTACCTTTATAATTGAGCTCTTAATTTTTTTTCAACCCTACTTTTTACTTCTATAATTTAGGCCCCAAATTTTTTTCAATCTCACTTTCACCTTTATAATTGAGGTCTCTAATCATTTCAATCCCACTTTTAATTTTTATAATTTAGGCCCCTATCTTTTTTAGTCTCAATTTCTATCTTTATAATTGAGGCCCTTATTTTTTTTTCAATCTCACTTTTAATCTTTATAATTGAGACCCTTAATTTTTTCAATCTCACTTTTAACTTTTATAATTGGTGCCTCTTTTTTTTAATCCCCTTTTACTTTTATAGTTTACGCCTCTAATTTTTTTAATCTCACTTTTACTTCTATTATTGAGGCCCGTAAATTTTTTAATATAATTTTTTAGCTTTATAAAATGAGACCCTTAATTTTTTTTCAATCCCACTTTTTACTTTTATAATTTAGCCCCCCTAATTTATCCATTTTCCTATGCTTTATTAATGTAAGATTAGATTAATTATTCAAAGTAATGCAATATACTTTCGTTCTATAATGACCAATTTTTTAGTTTCGTTCAGGATCCCAAAAATGTTTGAAATGACTCTGATAGTTCACTTATTTTTATTATTGACATGACAACCTTTGACTTGAAAGGTTGCAAATCGTTTTTGGATTAAACCATATATTAAAAATTAAACTAATGCTTAATTTGTATAATTAAGAAGCGTAGTTTACCAAGTAAACTTGACAATGCTATAAAAAATGAAGCGTAGTTTACCAGATAAATTTGAGAAAGCTCATACATTTATTATGATCCCATGTTGGCGTCATTATTTTTTATTTTTTGTTTTTATTGAATTCTTAATATGCATCTACTAAATTTGATCACCAAACCATATATTAAAAGAATAAACTTTTTTTTGAAAAGGGTATTTTGTATTGTATTTTATGATATATAAACAACACAAACCAACTTACCTTAATTGTTAAACGAATCGTTGTTGTTCCTAGAGGACACAGGTTCGAGCACCTGCGACTGTAGTAGAGTGATTGGACGTTTATTATCAAATGATTGAGTAATTAGAATAAATATTATTTTGTAATCATCTTAGTTTAATTAAAAAAAATAAGATATACAAGCAAAACAAAAACACTATAATGAGCCTCATTAAAAAAATTAAACTTGAGTGGAGGAAAAAAAGTACATCATGATAACATAAATATGCTAACTTCTCACAACCATAGCAAACCGTCCAAACTGACACAATACCATTTGTCGAAACGATTTTTTATTCAGGTGAAAGAAGCGAAATTTTGAAAACCACATCATTTTTAATTATTCTCTTTACGATTGAATTTTAATTAAAAACAATACGATTTTAGAAAACATCTCGTTTCGAAAAATTTGGGATTCCATTTTAAAATAAAACATACGGTTCGAGGAGTCGCCACCAATCTTTGATTAGGGTGTGATTGGACACCCAAAAACGTTGTCATTTTAAATAAAAGTTAATTTTAATTAAAACGACAAATAGGGGTCTGCGTTATCAGAATCTGAGTTCGGGAGTCGGTTACGCGTGGGGAAGGATTAGCACCCCCACAGCGCCCTAAATTGGTACCTAGTCGATTAATTAATGTCTTTGCAACGAATTTTACAAGTTCAACTTTAATTTAATTTTTGATCCCTTAAAACAACAAAATACGAATTTTATAACATGCAAAAACAACGAAATAGGTTAAATTAAAATTACCAAGTCATTAGAAAAATAAAGAATATTCGATTATTTAAAAATATTGAGACCAGATCTTTAGGTCAGTTCTAAAGACCGTTTCTCAATAAATTTAAATAGCCAAATATTTCTTTTTCTTTCACTCCCAAAATTTTAAAGTGAAGAATCAACTTTTTTAGTGACAATGATGGGATACACTTTTAATTTAAAGTCGTCTAAAATGGCTATCCAGTAAGTTATGAAAAACCATGTAAACAATTTTAAATTAGGAGGATATTACCCTTAATCTGATTATGTAATAGAGGTTAAGTTATGCAAATGAGGTCAACATGCTATAAACACTACACCTAAATATAAAAATACTAACAACATGCTCAGAATACTATATACATGCATACATTTAAAATAACTCTAAATAAAATCGACAATCATGCGTAAAATATTAAATAGGGGACTAAAATATAAAGAAAGTAAACAACAGGTTCTTTTTCAGAACATTTTCATTTATGGGCAATCCAAACATGATATAACCAAAATATTACATAGGATCAAAATGCAAGTTTCTAAAACTATGCATCCAATGTAAAAACAACAATAAAACCGACCTAACAGGATTCCGGACTATAGTGTAACACGCTTAAAATTAAAAGATAAAATCAAAAACCCAAATAAAATTCAAATCAAAGATTAGAACGAAACACATCGAATCCAGCAGGACCCTTCACGTAATTTCCCCTCCCTCTTAGACGCAGAAACGACATCGTTTCAGCCAACCATTAAACGACGTCGCTTCACTAACCAGATATATGGAATTTTCAGGGTTTAATCCTAAACTTAAATTCATTATAACCCTCGATCTAAACTCCCTTCAGTCATTCTCTCTCTCTTCTTTCTCTGGTCCAAATCCTAAGGGAAAGCTCCCAGCCGCCACGACCACTGCTCCTCTCAAACCCTAAACGAACCACCTTAGCATCCAATATAGCAGCCGCCGTGGCTGCTACCACCAAACAACCCCGACGAGACCCACGAGCCCCTATGACCACCTAGACCTCAAATCCTCGCCTCACCAGAGCAAAACCCAAACCGTAAACCTAGACCCTAAGGCCACCGCTCCACTCCTACATCTAAACCCAGTGAAACCCACACTGAAAAAGTAGAGAAAATGGTGGATTACCATTAGTAGCTCTACGGGGCTTGGGTTTCAAACGGCCGCGACGGTTCCTCTCTTCGACTCCGGAAGGTAAAGTTTTTTCTTTGTTTTCTTTTCTGTTGGTTCTCACTGATAACTGGTCGTTTTGTTTTTTGGTGATGATGGTTCATTTTCTCTCTGTTGATGTCCCTTTTCGATGTGTATTTTTTCGTGTTCTCTAGTTTTCTCTGGTTGTTAATGGTCTCTCTGGTTTTATGCTTTGTAATCACTGGTGAATGCTGATAACCCCTCCCTCGTGGTTATCCCCCACCTCCTTTTCTATTTGGTGGTTATCTATTATTATTGCTTGCTTCCTCGTGTTCTGCTGTTTTGTGTGCAGGACTCCCCGGTTCGAGAATGGTGAGCACGGGTGACGATAATGGTGGCCTCGGTCACAGCAGTGGTTGTCTCAGTGGGTGGCCGACAAGTATAGGTTTCCCTCGGGGTTCTCTATGCATGCTGGCTCGAGGCTCGTGGAGGACTGGGCGCATTGTCTCGATCTTCCTCCTGGGGGATCTGCGCATGCTGGCTCGAGACTCTGGGCACGCTCGGGGGTCACAAGATAGCTGGGAACCGTTGGATCTTGATGACAGATCGAACGACCTTCATGATACGGCGCTGGAGGCTGGTGACAGGGAACCCTAATGGGTTTAGGGTTTCCAGAGTTAGGCATGTAACAACTGGGCTTGTTATTTCCACTTGGGCCTATTTGGTCCAGTCTGTTTGGGATTGATTTAGGCCTATACCAACAATAACAATATTAGTGCATGTTTAATATATTTAATTATTTAATTATTTAACTATTTAATTACTTATCCATATATATATATATATATATTAATAACCACATAATACCAAACTTAAAATTATATTAGTAATAATAAACCCGAATTAAATTCAAATAATCCCGAACAAATCGAGCATCTACAGCTGCCCCTCTTTGCTCATTATTCTACTACAAGAATAGAGCAAAGATCAAAAGATGGCCAAGTTTGTCCGACCATGCAAAATTCAGAAGATGAATCCGCTTCACTGCAACTTCAAGATAAGTGGGACTTGAAAAATTCTCCAAAATCAGGTTCGCTCTCTATCGCTTCAGGGAGTAAGAACTCGAACAATAATCTTCCTACGAGCTCGCTCTCTATTTCATCAGGGAGTAAGAACTTGAACGATAATCTTCCTACGGGTCCGCTCTCTTTTTCTTCAGGGAGTAGAACTCGAACAATAATCTTCCTATGTGTCCGTTCTCTTTTTCTTCAGGGAGTAAGAACTCGAACAATAATCTTCCTATGGGTCCGCTCTTTTTTTCTTCAGAGAGTAGAACTCAACCAGTAATTTTCCTACGGGTCCGCTCTCTTTTTCTTCAAGGAGTAGAACTCGAACAATAATCTTCCTACGGGTCTGCTCTCTTTTTCTTCAGGGAGTAGAACTCGAACAGTAATCTTCTTACGGGTCCGCTCTCTTTTTCTTCATGGAGTAGAACTCGAACAATAATCTTCCTACGGATCCGCTCTCTTTTTCTTCAGGGAGTAGAACTCGAACAATAATCTTCCTACGGGTTCGCTCTCTTTTTCTTCAGGGAGTAGAACTCGAACAGTAATCTTCCTACGAGTCTACTCTCTTTTTCTTCAGGGAGTAGAACTCGAACAGTAGTCTTCCTACGGGTCCGCTCTCTTTTTCTTCAGGGAGTATAACTCGAACATTAATATTCCTACGGGTCCGCTCTCTTTTTCTTCAGGGAGTAGAACTTGAACAGTAATCTTCCTACGGGTCCACTCTCTTTTCTTCAGGGAGTAGAACTCGAACAGTAATCTTCCTACTGGTCCGCTCTCTTTTTCTTCAGGGAGTAGAACTCGAATAGTAATCTTCCTACGGGTCCGCTCTCTTTTCTTGAGGGAGTAGAATTCGAACAATAATATTCCTACGGATCCGCTCTCTTTTTCTTCAGGGAGTAGAACTCGAACAATAATCTTCCTACGGGCTCGCTCTCTTTTT